CAGGTAGGTGGAGTTGAGTGATTGAAGACTCTGACATGTGGAGATGATGTGTGGACTCTACAAGATGAGACTTTCTGCCATTCTGTTGGTTTAGGGTGAAGATCTGATGAAGGTGAAAGTTGAGGGTGAAGTAGAAGAGACGTATGTGAGGGATGATCAGCAACATACGGAGGAGGATGGAATGACGAGGACACTCATAGAGGAGAACACTCCTACAGAGATCAGCACAGGTGACCCATAATATATTCTTCTCTTATCTCTGCTCTGTTACTGCACAGTGATTGGTCCGGAGTAGGCCGGGATCTGAGTGATATCAGCCAATAGTAGGTTGGTAATGGTCACCTCCCTGTACTGATCCCCGTCCTGGGGCTCAGCTGGCAGTATTGGGTTGGGTGTCACTCCTAGTTCCAGGAGCACAGATATGAGGACACAGATTGGGCCTTTCTTAGGTCGGTTCCTCTTCTTCCAGCAGACTTCTAGCTAAACATAAAACTCTTATCAGTCTTGTTGGGATGAAAAGTAACAAAGACTGAAACACTTCTCTTTCCAGGAGAACATACTTCTCCAAGCTCCCTCCAGTGCTGCTCATCACCAGAAGTCTAGACCTGTGGTCACTTGTTCTGTGGTGAAGGGTCTATTGGTCTGAACATTGATCCTCTTCTTCCTCAGAGAACACATGACCCAGTGCCTAGGCTTGTAGTTGGGTGAAGAGCATGTTCCTCCCAGTTCCCATTGGCTCCGCCTCTTCTGACAGGGCTGTGTAAATGTAGAAGTGATCTGGGAGGAGGACCAAAGGCCCTTTGACTGAAGAGGGGAGGAGTCCCAGCTGGTTGGGACCTCCACAGAGAACATCTGCTCCCTCAGATCTCCTGATCCAGATGGAATGTTGAGTGAAGTCATCTAACCCTCTCATATCTCTCCATCATGTGTTTCTATGTTTCCAGGACACGCCATGGAGAAACCCTCAAAGGATCCTCTGACTTTATCTCCAGGTTGTAAAATGGAAGATGAGGACATCACAGCAGATTGTGCGGGAGAAGAGACAATGAGCTCAGCTATGGATGGTGGACTTCACAGTGTGGATAGACCATGGGATCCCTCTGACTCTGAGCAACCTCGTCCTGTGGGGGATGGTGCCGGAATTCAGGGGGAGAAGAAATTTTTCTGTCCTGAGTGTGGGAAAAGTTTTATCTCTGAATCAACTCTTTGTGTTCATCTGAGTTCTCACATGGGTGACAAGTTTCTTTACTGTTATGACTGTGGGAAATGTTTTCTTCGTAAATCAGACCTTGTCACACATTACCGATCTCACATGGGGGAGAAACCATATTCCTCTTTTAGGTCTAGAAAATGTTTTTCACAGATGTCCAGTATATTTAGACATCAGAGATTTCACCCAGGGGAGAAGCCGTACTCCTGTCCTGAGTGTGGGAAATGTTTTTCAAAGAAGTCCCATCTAAACGCACATCAGAGGTCTCACACGGGCGAGAAGCCGTATTTCTGTTCGGAGTGTGGAAAACATTTTTCACGGAAGTCAAATCTGACCGTACATCAGATATGCCACACGGGTGAAAAACCATTTTCCTGTCTTGAGTGTATGAAATGTTATCCACGGAAATCAGACCTTGTTAGACATCAAAGATCTCACACGGGGGAGAAGCCGTATTCCTGTCACGAGTGCGGGAAATCTTACTCAAGGAAATCAGACCTTGTCATACATCAAAGATCTCACACAGGGGAGAAGCCGTATTCCTGTCCTGTGTGCGGGAAGTGTTTTTCACAGAAGTCCAGTCTTAACACACATCTTAACACACATAAGAAGTCCCATAAACGTTAAAAGTCGTATTCCAGTCCTGAGAGTGGAAATCTTGCACAAGGGAGAAGCTGTATTCTTTTCCTGAGTATGGATGAGCCAAAAGTAGTCAGGTTCAGTTTTCGGGACAGTTGGTGCTTTCGGCTAAAGTGCGGAAACAATCCATAATTTGAAAATTGTTGTTAAGGGGGAAGAGAGTCTTGTGAGGCTGCATAAAGGGCAACATTGGAAAATGAGGGGATGCATCAAAGCTGTATGTGCTTTTACAGAACATTACAATGCTCAGGGACAGCATCGGCCACACCGCGTTCCGGCATCACATACTAAAGATTACATTTGTAATAATATTCCTCGCTCGTCCATTATTACTTATTACTTATAAACAGCAACAGTGACCCATCGTTATTTTTTAAAAATGTTTTCCTTGGAAAGACAACGGAAAAATGTTACAGATTTCGAGCTCGTCCCTCTTCAGCCTTTGTTGAGAGGCCGCAACTTCTGAGGGTGAGAACAGGCAGATTGCATACGGAAGTAACACATTTTTGTACTTTTTCACATCTTAGAGACGTTTAAGTCTATTTGTATAGGAAGGAGCAGGCAGATTCCATCCAAAAATATTCAATTAGACTTTACATTTTTGAGACAGAATATAAAAATTGTGCAGATTTGCTGCATAGAATGTCATCCTTTTCAATAGGTGGCAATTCCAGAGGGAGCGATCAGGCACGTTTCAGTCATAGATATAAAATGCACTGTACTTGTTCTGAAACAGAATATTAACATTGTGCAGATTTGCTGCATAGAATGTCATCCTTTTCAATAAGAGGCAATTCCAGAGGGAGCGATCAGGCACGTTTCAGTTATAAATATTAAAATGCACTGTACTTGTTCTGCATCAAAGCAATAAATATGGCTTATTGAGGAGCAGCACGCAGGAACATGAAGTGTTGTCCTTTTTTAATTCTTATGCAACAAAATACAGCACAACCATTAATGGACTTTGCATGCAGCCAGGAGGATGAGCGAGGAGAGACAGCCAGGGGAGAGAATGAGGAGAGAGAGCGCATGGAGAAAGAGCCAAGAGAGTGAGGAGAGACAGCCAGGAGAAAGTTAGGTGAGAGCCAGGAGAAAGAAAGGAAAGACAGCCAAGAGAGAGAAGAGACAGTAGGGAGAGACAGCCAGGAGACAGGAGAGACAGCCAGGAGGATGAATGAAGAGAGACTGCCAGGAGAGAGAGTGAGATGAGAGAACAAAGAGAGATAGCCAGGGTAGAGAATGAGGAGAGACAGCCAGGAGAAAGCGCATGGAGAAAGAGCCAAGAGAGAGCCAGGAGAGAGTGAGGAGAGACAGTCAGGAGGATGAATGAGGAGAGACAGCCAGGAGAGAGTGCATGGAGAAGAAGCCAAGAGAGAGTGAGGAGAGACAACCAGGAGGATGAATGAGGAGAGACAACCAGGAGACAGTGCATGGAAAAGAAGCCAAGAGAGAGTGAGGAGAGACAGCCAGGAGGAAGGTTAACAGTTTCCCCTGCACCATGTTTTCCAGGTACTTCTTATTTTGCTCTCTGTGATGGCAGGATGAGCGCTGTGACTTTCTTCTTATGACATGGATCCAAGAGGGTGGCCATGCAGTAATGGTCCCTTTCCTTGAGGGCACAAATCCTGGGGTTCTTTCACAGGCACCGGACAATAAAATATTTAAATTACCTGAGGCAGAGGAACCAGAGTCCTCGGGGTCTCTGAGGACATATCATTAACCTCAGCTATCTCCCCCCGACCATGTACAACTCCTCTGGGTTGTGGGGTTAAAACTCAGGCCTGGAAGCTTGCCCCATGTCCTCCTCCTACTCAATGCTTGCACCGCAACTTTACTCCTCGTTTTCCTTTTGTGCCTGGTGCGGTCTCACAGGAAAGGAGGTTGGATGAAGCGAGCCCGGGGACACCAGGAAGTTCTCTTGCTGCTGTGACTCCAGTTCCTCGTCTATTACACTATTCAGTGTGCGCTCCAGCAGGAACAGTGTCAGTGATGCATTCATTGCCATGACTCGCTGTCCTGGTCGCCTCCTCAAATTGTGACAATATTGTAATGGCATCATGAATGAGGAGCTTCCAATACCGTGGAAACCCTTTACACCTTGAAGTGAGTCTTCTGGTCCTGCTCTAATTAGACCGGACATAACTAAAACTAGTGATGCACCGATACCGGTATGTTGGTACCGAGTACGAGTACCGATAATTTTTTTCCGGTACTCGTCGATACCAGTTACCGAGTAACGGAAGTCCCATTCAGGAAACCAGGTGGCGTGTAATGACTCGCCACCTGGCTTCCTGATTAGCCGGGAAGCCGGGCAGTGTGTAAAGAGTCGCCACCCGGCTTCCCGATTAACAAGAAAGTCCCCTCTTACCTTGGTATGTGCAGCCTGTCATCCCCCAGGGGCCTCTCCAGCGAGAACGCGGCATTCGTCCGGTACCCAGCCGGAGCCGTCTAGCCGGCCAATCAGGAGGCCGGGCACCGTGTAATGACGCGACGCCCTGCTCTGATTGGCCGGGAGGCCGGCTCCATGCTCTCTTGTCATGAGATGACGAGGGAGCACGAAGCCAGCTTCCCGGCCAATCAGAAAGCAGGGCGTCGCGTCATTAGACGTCGCCCGGCTTCCTGATTGGACGGCTCGGGCTGGGTGCCTGACGAAGGAGAGGACCCCGGGGGATGACAGGCTGCACATACTAAGGTGAGGTAACCTTACCTCACGAGGCCAGCTTCCTGTCAATCGCGAAACCGGGCAGCGTGTAATGACGCGCTTCCCGGCTTCCTGATACCGGAAGTACTCGTGCCAGGCATCGGAGCATTTAGGCGAGTACGAGTACTTGCCCAAATACTCAGAATCGGCACCGATATCGATACTAGTATCGGTATCGGTGCATCCCTAACTAAAACTCTTGTCCATCAAGGCTGATGTCTAATCCATGGGAGTCGGTGCCTTATTCAGTCCCCGAGTGGTGGTAGGTGCCCCTGCTCCTTCTTCTCTAGGGAGGTCTCACTGGCAGTGAAGAACTATTCCACACAAAATCAATACCTGCTCTCTGTCACACTGCTTCTTCAGGAGTGGTGATATCTCCTGGTGGGATCGCCTCAAGTTTACGCTGACCCCAAAAACCTCCAGTACTTACAAACTGCTCGCCGTCTAAATCCCAGACAAGTCCATTGGTCCTTGTTCTTCTCTCGTTTTGACTTTGTGATCATTTTCAAGCCAGCGGATGTCCATCTCCAAAGCCGATGCACTCTTGTGTTCCTTGGATTCTCAAGATTCCGAAGTTCCAGGAAGGCCAGAAATTATTTATTTCACTCTCATCCTGCCTCTGACTTCTATTTGGGAATCTGCTATTCCCCCAGGAAAGATTCTAGTGCCCCCGGAGCGAATGACTTACCTCTTGCATAGGGTCCTGGTGCCCTCATTTCCTTGCCTACAATGGTGGCCAAATCTTTGAAAGGACACGGGGGACTACATTAGAGCATGTGAAAGTTGTTCCAAAACCAAGTCTCCTACGCATGCGCCTGCAGGTCTTGTTCTACCACTACCAGTTCCTAGTGAGCACTGGCACCATGCGTCTATAACTCTCTTCTACTGTCCAATGGCTGTACGGTAATTCGAGTAGTGGAAGACCGCTTTTTGAATATGGCAGATTTCATAATGCTTTCTTCATTGTCTTCAACTCCTGCCCTGGGACCCATCTTCCATCGGGAGATTTTCAGGCTTCGCGGCATTCCTATTCACTCTCTTTAAGTCCTTCAATATCACCTTATGGTTTTCCGTAGCCTACCATCTACAGGCCAGTGAACAAACCATGTCCTAGTGTCTCACCATCATGAAGGCTGGGTTGTCCCCCTGCCTTAGGCAGAATTTGCTCATAATAACCATCATTGTGCCAGAACCAAAGCCTAACCCATTCTTCAATGTCAACATCCAGCATCCAGGTCTTCCCTTGCCGATTCCCCCAGGCAAGACTCTAATGCCTCCGAAGCTAAAAACTTAACTCTTGGATAGGGTCCCAGTGCCCTCATTTCTTTCCTGCCTACAATGGTGGACAAATCTTTGAAAGGACACGGGGGACTACAGTAAAGCATGTGAAAGTTGTTCCAAAACCAAGTCTCCTATGCATGCGCCTGCAGGCATTGTTCTACCACTACCAGTTCCTAGTGAGCCCTGGCACCATGCGTCTATAACTCTCTTCTACTGTCCAATGGCTGTACGGTAATTCGAGTAGTGGAAGACCGCTTTTTGAATATGGCAGATTTCATAATGCTTTCTTCATTGTCTTCAACTCCTGCCCTGGGACCCATCTTCCATCGGGAGATTTTCAGGCTTCGCGGCATTCCTATTCACTCTCTTTAAGTCCTTCAATATCACCTTATGGTTTTCCGTAGCCCTTTTATCAACAGACCAGTGAACAAACCATGCCCTGGTGCAGGGGTAGCAAACCTCCGGCTCGCCAGCTGTGATGAAACTACAAATCCCACGATGCATCTCTCTTCGGGAGTCATGTCTGTGGCTGTGAGAATCTTGCAATGCCTCATGGGATTTGTAGTTCCACCACAGCTGGAGGGCCGGAGGTTTGCTACCCCTGCCCTAGTGCCTCACCACCATGAGGGTTGGGATGTCCTCCTTTACAAAACACAAAAATTCCTCAGCCTGCCAGCCGGCCTGCAACCAAACAAGTAGCCCTGTCAACAGTATGCGTTAAAATCAGAGGTTTAGTTGCACAAACTTTTGGCCAAAAATATGTAGAAGCCGCACCGCCGCGCCAAGGCACCTCTGCAAAGTGCGGTCCTAACTCTATGTATCCAAGTCTCCAAGTGTCAGCATATTAATGCAGTCGATAAATTACATGCAGGTGTACCTGGAGGTAGCCTACTCCTCCTAATAAGGTGCAGGGACGCACTGGAGGCCCAGCAACCAAAAAATGCAAACCACACTTTGCAGAGGTGCCTTGGCGCGGCGGTGCGGCTTCTACGGCGGCAGTGCGGCTTCTGTATTAGAAGGGCAAGGAGCCCTTCTAATACAGAATAACAGAGCTAGTGCTCAGGGGAGCGGCTGATTCTGGGGGGGAATCTCATAAAACATCAAGAAGCAGCATCCGTTGTTAATGATTTCAATGGTTTACAGTCATTTTGACCTCAATATCACTTTTAAGGCCATGCCAGGCTAATTTCCACCACCACATCCTGGGGATCAGCAGCCATTTCCCATCTGCTGAGGGTTCTTCGCAGTGCCAGAGGTGGAACATGGTAAAAGAGAAGGGGGATCCCATCTGTACCGGGGTACAGGGCCCTGCTATGATCGGCCCGGCTGCTCTGCTGGGGGAGGTGGACAGCTGTCCGCTGGGTACTTCTGATGAGGGGGTGATCCGCATCACCCATTCCGCCACTGCCTGAGCCTTCTTTTAGATGAATAGGGCACCACGGGGCTTGCAAAGCAGCATGGGAAGGTTTCATCAACATAGGTCCCTGCAAGCCAATTTCTCCTCAGCACATTCAGAGGCTAATGATGACTAAGTTTGAAATCAGCTTTGCTGCAAAAAGAAAGGCGTCAGAACTCCTCCGCTCATCCCGACCAATGATATATTTCCGTCTTCTTTATTGGGAGTGGGAATGACTCCCAGGGATCTCAAGTCTCCCTGATGTAGATAGCGGCTCCCTGATGTCCGCGAGAGAGGCATTTTCTCCCTGAAAGCTTTACTCTGAGTAAACCTTTCCTCTCTGTCTATAAGGAAATACAGAACATAACACAGCACAAGGCCGTGTTCACACTACGAGGCTTTTCTCGGGGCTTCAGTTCTCCTGAGCTCCACAAGGTGGAGACCTCACCTATATCGACAGGAAGTCTCTATGACACCCACAGACAGGAAGTCTCTATGACACAAACTGGAAGTGATGTCAGGCACAGACAGGAAGTTCCGGGTGAGAGGTGAAGTTGGGAGGAAGTAGAGAGGAGATATTGCTGGAACTGGCAGGAGAGGAGGTAATAAGATATTATTTTATATATACACCCAGTGCCCCCCCCCCCCCCCTTCCCGGCCCGCCCGCCCC